ACCCCAGGCTTCCCACTGTTGTAGAAAATCAGTGCACCAAACTCCTGCAACCCATTGCAGCAAGCTGGCACCATGGAGAACCTACACCCCCTCATCAACTCACAACAGATATAACCAGGGACCTAGAGACCATTGGTTAGTGCCATTTCTTTATAAATTTATTACATCCTTGTGCATTCCATACCAACAGTAAAGTATGGATCTGAAGACCAATCCAGAGATGTTTTAATTTTATGCAACACTAGAGAGGGGATGGAAGGACTTACTGTTCTGCCTGAAGTCCAGTTGGTGACATCAGACAAAGAAATTATTTACGGGTCATGTGCCTGAGCCCTCCCCTCTTTATTCCCAAGAATGCTGTCATTGCTCAGGTGTACCTCTTACCGTACACAACCCATACTACACCAAATCAGACTGTTTTGTGGCCACAGATTCTGGGTCACAGAAAACCTCTGCTAGAAATTGCTCTGTTGTTTAATGGGAAAAAAGTCTATCATTCAGGGATGGTGGACACTGGAGCAGACATCACCATCATATCTTGCTCCAAGTGATCAATGGAGTGACCTCTAGTACCATTGAGTGGGGTCATCTCAGGTATCAGAGGATCCATGAGCAATATGAGGAGCAAGAATGTCATACAGTTTAAGGGACCAGAGGGCTTGGTAGCCATGAGACCTTTCATGGTAGGGGCACCCGTCACACTGTGGGGCAGGGACGTCTTAACAAAATGGGGGACAAGGTTAGAAATCCTCCCAACACCCCAGGATTTCTAAGTGGGGGCACCATGCCATCCTAAACTTCACCTGGAAGACTGAGAAACCTGTATGGGTGGCTCAGTAGCCCCTTCCAGAGAAGAAAAGCACTGCAGTCCCTTGTGCAGGAACAGCTGTCCAAGGGCCACCTAGTCCCATCTACCAGCTCTTGGAACACACCTATTTTTGTTATCCAAAAGCCTGGCAAGTGGCAGCTCCTGCAAGACCTCAGGAAAGTTAATGAGATCATTGAAGACATGGGTTCCTTGCAGCCTGGCCTTCCCTCACCCTCAGTGCTGACCTGGAATTGACAGATTGTAACTGACCTGAAAAACAGTTTTTTTAACATCCCTCTGCACCCAGACTCTGCCCCCCATTTCACTTATTCCATTCCATCCCTGAATCAGCAGGTGCCTCTGCAGAGGTATCACTGGATGGTATTGCCACAAGGCATGAAAAACCCTCCAACAATCTTCCAGTGGTTTGTAACCCAGGTGTTATCCCCAGTCCACCAAGAACATCCTGATTACTTTACATTATATGGATGATATCTTGATGTGTACCAAAGACAACAACTCCTTGGACTACACCCTCCCAGACACTATTTCCTCCATCCAGAGGGCAGGCTTGGAAGTTGTGCAAGAAAAGACTGAGCACACCAGTCCTTGGAAATGCCTCATCCTCCAAATTGGCAGAAGGATGCTCATACCCCAGCTACGTCAGTTCAAGGAGGACCCCAAGACCCCTCAGGACTTAGACCAACTGGGTTCACTCTTTGCTGGGGATCACAATGGAGGACCTTGCACTGTTTTTCCAACTCCTAAAAGGTGACAAGGACCTCAATGCACCAAGATTTCTAACCCCAGAGGCCAGGTTTGTGGTAGAAAAGGTAGCTGATGCACTTTACACAAGACAAGCCCACAGATGCAATCCTAATCTACCTTTTTTCACTTGCAGTTTTAAGAAAGAGTTCAAAATTCTACACATTGATTTTTCCAATGGGACTCAAACTTACCTGACCCACTTTTAATAATTGAACGGGTTTTTAGATCTCACCAGCCCACTAAAACTATAGTGACCCCACAAGAGCTCATGGCTCAACTAGTTATAAAAGCCAGAGCTTGCTTGTGATCCCTAGCTAGAGTTGAGCTCACTAATATCTATCTGCCCATCACCACAGGACACTTTGGCCTCTACAAACATCTGAACAGCTCCAATATGCTCTTGACAGCTACCCCGGGCAAATCTCAATTCAAAAAACCTAAATTGTTCAATTTGGCCTTTAATTTGACCCCCAAGCCTCTAAAAAGTCAAACCCCATTAAAGGCTCTGACCACCTTCACCAATGGGACTGGGGGCTGGAGTCAAAGCAAGGCTGACTCACACTCTTTTCAGACAGTGGATAACTGTTCCCTGGAACTGCAGAATCACGAAGCCCATGGACGGTGTGTATGGAAAGTTTTCCAGTTTGATTTTTTTATACTGAAAGCATATCAAATATTCTCCCACTGTCCTTCAGGTCTATGACCACAGTTCTTACACGTATATGTGAGCCAAAGAGACAGAGGGGTTTGCTCAGCACTGTACAGTTAAATGAGCAGGACATGAGAATTATTACTTAGATTCTAAGAACTTTTGCGCTGCAATTTCCACAGATGTCACAGATGCAAAGCTGGGGCTGTGCTAGACTTTGTGAACTGAATAATGTGTCCTAAATTCTACATTCATGTCTTTCTCTGCAGCTAGCTGTATCTCTGAATGTGAAGGCATATAAAATGAAAGTTAAAAAAGGAAAAGAGAAATAAAAGCCTTATATCTAGATAGTACATTTTTTGATTGTGTGGTTTATGAGGATTTCCAGAGTACAAATCACAGGAGCAAACCAGTGTGACCTCTGTGGATGGAGGAACTCTTTCTGGTAGGGGAAAACCTTACTCTCAAAAAACAAAATCAGGAGTAGTTTACAGACAAGGTAGATGGCTAGCATATGGTTTTGGTGTTTTGGTAGCTTCAACATAAGAAAGTAATTCAGGTTTTTTGTTTGTTTTGTTTTGTTTTGGATTTTTGTTGCATTTGTTTGTTTGTTTGCTTGCTTTGAGTTTTTGTTGAGGTTTTTTTAGGGTTCTTTTATTTGTTTTTTTGGGGGTTGGGAGGGTGCCATTGACTTTGTTGCTGTTGGTTTTCTAGCAGAGTACTTTCTCTGCCACTGATTAGACTATTCTGGAAGAGCACTTTATCAAAGAGCCAAAGGAAAGTAAATGACATATCCAACATGATAACCAAACACAGGAGCAAGTTTCAAGGTAAACCTGGAAAAAACTCTTTCAAGTTTCATCTGTAAAACTTAAAACTTCAGTAGGAGTACTAGTGCACACAGAGAGAGAGCATTGCAAACACAGTTGGGCAAATAGCCATAAAATTGCCAGAAGGTTGTCTATGCAGTGTTTTGTAGTGCTGATGTCCACTTTCCTTGAAATATAACATAAAGAACAGCTGGATAAAAAAGAGAAAATAAACGTCCAAAATACTGTCAATACCATAACAAAGAGACAAACTAAATTAGTGTTTTTATACTTACACTTGAAATAAGTACAAAACCAGGACGTTTTTCTGTTCTGGCTTATTTGCATATTTATTTTGATCTGGAAAAACAATGTTAGGTCACCAGAGCTGTCTATTTTCCTACTTCCTAGAGAAAGAGACCCAGCTAAGGGAAGAACAGAACTTTCTACTCCAAATGTAACTACTGAAAGGGTGTCAGTTAGAAGAAAACATATCTGGGACAAACTGCCAATAATTTTTTTCCTCCCCAGGAAAAATTACGCTGGAGTTTTTGAGCAATACTAAGTTGGTTACATATGATGCATACTAATGAGTATCTTCTTGAATCTCTCAATATCTCTCTTCCCTCTTTTTGATTGTAGAAAATTGTATTCTTGCAGTGTTTGCAAGGTCTTTCTACTTGCCATGAGATCTGTATTTATTTGGCATTTTGTCACTGTCCATATACATAATTAATAAACCTGCTGCACAGAAAGGTTTGACACCTCCCTGAAGGATTGTTTTAAGGTCATGCTTGTACAATTTACCTTTCCACCATTAATTTTGGAACAGGAAGAAGTCACTTCCAACTGTGTAGCAGTATCTTTAAAGCTACCATCAACTGGACAGTGAAATTGTCCTTCAGACAGCCAATGCATATTCAGAACAAAAGGAACAAAAGCTCTGTCTGAGATTCCAGCTCCAAGGCGAGCACTTTCCAGCTAAAATATCTCATTTTTTGCTAATGGACAGGGTTTCCTTAATTGGTCAGGAAAATGAGCATTTATGAATTTGCAAAAGGGAGAAGGGAACATTTATGAATTTGCTGGAGGGGACTCTTCCCTAATAGCACAGTGTGGGTTTTTCTGATATGCAGGAAAAAGTATGAAGGACTGCTTAATTTGTCATTCATATATGTTTGACAGTACTATTTCATGAGGCTGGTAGAAAATGCCACCCTTTTAGGAAAGCAGTGTGAAGGAATACTTTGGGGCATGGTTATCTTATTTACAACATAGCCTTGGAATTACAAGTTAAACAAAAACTAGAAAGCTTATCTTTCTTTAGGCATTATTTTAATACTTTTCCTTTGTTAAAATAAAGTGCCCCACCTAAATCTTTCACACAATTCCAATGGGCATGTTTTTTTTTTCTTAACCTTATGGATATATCATAATCATCAAAGGCATCAAAGGCATCAAAGGCTTGTCAAAATGCTTTTTCTTTATTGTTTGTCCTGTAGTTGAGAATCAGGATCAATACGCTATCTCTATGAAACTGATTCTACAATACTGCTCTTCACTGCAGCTGCTGTAAAGATCAGCTTGCAGTCTTTTCAAGACTTAACTATACTGCTCACAGCTTGAGTGTTTCCATTGTACAGTGATCTACATACCAGGGCATATAGATTAAACTATTCCACTTGTTTTGTTTTATTTAATGTAGAGTTCCAAAATATTTTAATTTTCACATTTGTATGGCATCTGGTGCTTGAATGGAAAACTCATTAGTAAAGAGCAAAGGAAACCAAGCCAAACCAACCAAACAAAAAAAACCAAATCCAAACACAAGGAAATCACCAGATCGTGTTTAAAAGCTCAATTATTTAACTAGAAGCAACAATTTATCTCAATAAGCTCTTTACTGTGAGTGAAACACCACTCATTTCTACCTATCTGAACACAGAAACAGCAGCAAAATGTAATGATGAAGAAGAATTTGGCACTAGGCCAGTACAGTTTTAGAAGCGTGCCCGACACGGCCCGACATCGCGCTTCACCCGTGCGCACATGCGGGGCGTTTAGAACGGGTACTTTTAGGGGCAGGTACTTTTAGGGGCAGGCGGGGGTTCCCCCGGAAGGGAGGGAGGCCAGAGGCGGTGGGCAGCGCGGGGGGAGCTGTCCGTGGTGCTGCCGACGCCGCGCTGCCCCGAGCGCTCCGCTCCGCCCCGCCCCGCCCCGCCGGAACCCGGCCGCCGCCGTGCAGGGCTCGCTTCTTCGCCGAGGCCTTCGTTTGGCTTGCAACTTTTGCAAGGGGAAAAACAAAAACAAAACCAAACCAACAAACAAAAAAAAAACCAACAAAAACAAAATCAAACCCAAACAAAACCCAAACCCCAACAACAACAACAACAAAACAACCAAAAAACAAACAAACAAAAAAAAACAACAAAAAAAAACCCGGTCGTTTAAGCGGTGAAGACTTCGCAGCCGCGATTGTTTTCTCAGTGAAGGCTGTCGGCGCCGCTGCGCCCGCTGTCTCTTATTAAGTGTCCCTGCCTAACTAAAAAAGCAGAGACAGGAGCTCGCAGCCCACCCAGGAGGGGCGGCCGCCTCGTGGGCGAGGAGGCAGTGCCGCTGGGAGAAAGGATCCTACTTCCCGGGGCCACTCTTCTCCTTATGTCCCGCTCTCGTTGGTGTTTTGCTACCTTTGCTCCTCCCCTTCCCCAGCCGCTGCTCCCTTCGTGGCGGTCAGGCACTGGTTAAGACGCTGCTGCCCTCAAGGCAGAGCCGCGGAAAATAAAATAATAGACGAACATAAAGGGTGGAGAGAGAGCCCGCCGCCGCCCGCCCGGGAGGCCGTCCCTCTGCCATCGAGAGCAGCGTAGGTCGCTCCGCCCCGTTAGACGGCCCCAGCCGGGTGGAGGAAACGGGAGCCGGGAGCCTCCGCCGCTTCCTCGCAGCTGGAGGCGGCCTCGGAGACAGCACCGGGCCGGAACCTCCGGGCCGGGGCCTCGGGCCGAGCGTTCCCTTGGTCAGGGCCGTCCCCGCGGGCCGGGGTCTCCGCCAGCCCCGGCAGCGCGGGGCGGCCGAGTGGCGGCTGTGGCGCTGTGCGGGGCGCGGCGGGCGGGGGGCGTGGTGGCGGATGAGCTGGGAAAAGGCACCGCCCGCGGGGACCTGCAGCGCCTCAGGGAGCTGCTGGACGGAGCGGCGGACCCCAGCCCCGTCAACTCCTACGGCAGGACCCCCATGCAGGTAGGAAGGCGGACTATTGGCAGCTGGGCGAGGGCAGAGACCCTAGGTCGCAGCCCCGGGGCAGCAGCGGGCCCTCCGGTGCCCCGGAGGTGGCCGCCCCCCGTCACTGCGCTCGGCTGCTGTCTAGGCGGTGTGGCACAGGGGTTCTTCTCGCCTCTCTGGGAAAGAGAAAGGCTTCTCCGATGACGGCCACAACAGGGAGGTTTTAGTCTTAGCAACCTTTTATTTTATTTGAACCAACTGAGATAGGATGACTCAAATCCGAGAACTTTAATGCTCATCTCGCAATAAACGTGCAATAAAATATGACAACTCACGTTTGCAGAAATAATGTCCCCTTCGTTATACCTCGTCTTCTGCTTTATATGACTGTTAGTATTTTTTGTCTCCTCTCCTATGGAAAAAAATAAAAATATTGTGTGGTTCCCACAAACAGAAACACTCGGTCGTGATAGCCTTGCCCAGGTGACGCTGCAGGTAGACAACGAGCAATCCCTGTGGGGCTCTGTCTGCCCACATTTTATGCTCGTGTGAACGTGTGGGTAGAGATAGTGCCCTGAGGTGTAGTAGAGGTTAAATTTTTAAAGGCTGAGTTAATTTTCGAGGTGGTTTTAGCCAGCTTTTTCTTAAAATTTAAAAATAAAACGAAACTGGAATAATCTGAGAAGCTATATTTAAGTTTTCCTGCCAGTGCTTGTGAAACCCTCTCCTGCAAAATGTCGGTGGGAGCATTTCACTCGAAACAGGTATTTCTCGCCGTCCTCCAGTGGTTTTGCATTTTTATTTCTGGGGATGTTTTTCCCTAATTTTTGCAGGAGGGACTCAGCCCCTGAACTCACTGCTGGGTGCGCTAGGGGAGACTTTGAAAATGGTGAGCCCGAGGTGAAGGGCTGCCGGACATGTTTGCCCTGTCCTGGACAAATGGGTCAGCAAAAGTTCATTCCCTCCGGGAGAGGGAAGCGCGGGTGCGGCGCCGCAGACACGGTGCATTATGCCCTGCATTACGCTTCTGCCCTTGCCAAGGACACCCTGGAGAAGTGCCACCCATGCGAGTGGAACGACGGCGGTCCTCGCGAGCTGCTGCACCGGCACAGTCCTGCAGGGACCGGCGCAAAGCGACTTCGACTTGCCCTGGCTTTCTGTGGAAGCGCGTCAGCAGAAGGGCGGGTCCCTTCCCCGGGTTCATCTGCTCCGAGCCTACCGACCCCCGCCGGCTCCTGTCGCGGAGCAGCCCCACTGTGCATCCACACACCCCGATCCCGACATGGGTCCCGCACATCTCTGCCCTACCTGTTCCCTCCTGTCCCCTGGCGTGGATAAAGAAGTTTTCCCAATTCGGCACAGCTCCCCCGACGGGTACATGTTCTCCACCGTTCGTGGCACGTCTGGAGCCGATCTCTGTGCTTCCCCCGCGGACTTTCATCTCCTTTCCACTGCGGATCCCCTTTCCTTCGGGGAGAGAGGAAGCTTGAGCTCAGCAGCGGCCGCTGACGCTGTCTCTCCCCGCAGGTGATGATGCTGGGCAGCCCGCGGGTGGCCGAGCTGCTGCTGCGGCGCGGAGCCGACCCCAATCGCCCCGACCCTCGCACCGGCTGCCTCCCGGTTCACGACGCGGCCCGCGCCGGCTTTCTGGAGACCCTGGCTGTGCTGCACCGGGCCGGGGCGCCCCCCCCCCTCCCCGCCGGCCGCGGCCGCCTGCCCCTCGACGTGGCGGCGGGGAGCCCGCACGGAGCGGTGGGGCGATACCTGCGCGACCCGCGGCTCCGCGCCTCACCTCTCCCCGGGCATCCCTTCCCCAAAGTTACTGCGCGCGCCCGACTCGGAAGACACCAAGTCGAACAGTAATCATGCGATGCTGAGGAATAATCCCGGGTCTGATTTCCCTGTTGGCATGCACAAAGGGAAATAGTCTTTGCTCATGCCTGAATATTATCCTGCACTGGAAATGCTATGGCACTCTGCACGTCCTCTTTTTCACACAAGAGTCCAAACACTGAAGAAAATATTAAATATGAAGTACGAAATATGAAATATGAAGAAAATACTAAATGTGAAAATATTAAATAGCAAATACTGAATATTAAATATGAAGGAAAATCGTCACACAGAGATATGGTACTATAAACCCTTCCTCTGTTTTGATGGGTCTGAGTCTGGACTTTCTCTTCCACAGAGGCTCCCCACTCACACTTGCTAGCCCTCCATCTGAAGAAGATGGGAGAGGCTTCAGTGTTGCCCTGTCCCGACAGCTCCCTGTTTGATTTTGGTTAAGCTGAACTGAAGGGGTGCTGAAGCCAATCTGCCTCTCTCTGGCAAAACCGGCTGGACAGAAGGATCAGTGCTTCCTGGTGTGATTGCAGCTTTGGTAAATACCTCCTTAAACAGATCCTGTGCATGTCTGTACACATATCCACAGTACATCCTTGGCTCTCCTTGTGTAGGCTGCAAGCATGAGACCTGGGAAGGAGAAAATAGAGATTTGTGTCTCTGCAAGCAAGGTCCCAAGTTGAAGTACTCGTTTTAACAACTTGCAAGTGACCTCACCTGTGTTATACTGCTTCTAAAAAATCATGTGAGTATAAAACCAAGACAGCCATAAAGAAAAAATTAAAAGTCATAATCGGAGCTCAACCCCAGTGCTTCCCAAGATGCTCAGAGGTGACACATTTGGTAAAGAAACAAGCAAACCTTTGAAACAGCTCTTCTGCTGGTGGAGGAACAAGAAGAAGGTCTCTATATTGATTATGTGAGAGTCGATGCATGTTCCACTGGCTGCTTCGGGGAGTTGGATGTGAGCACCCCAGGAAAAAGGTACATTGGCAGCCCAACCTCTGCCAAGGTGAAAGGAGGAGGCAGCGTGTCCCAAGCCCCCAGAGAACAGTGAGCTAGGCAGTGAGGCAGGTGGCAGGGACGGTGCTCCCAGCCAGTGTGGGACCCTGCCTCTCTCCCTGGAACCCAAGAGGGGTTGTGCTCACTGCACCTTAGGGGCAGGGAAACGGAAGCCAGGTGAGGCAGTGACAGAGCTCAGGTCTTGTACCCTAGTGGTAATCCTGGGCACTTTTGCAGAGCTACCTGTAGAAAATGTGAAAAAGATTTATCTTGGTTTTGCATTCCTACTGAGTATCCAACCCCTAGGTATCTCATATATAAACATGAAAAATAATGTATATACCTTTTTTTTAATGTGTTGGAATATCTTATTTATTATAATGTAGTTTCATACAATGCATGATTTATAATTACTTTGTATCTGTTATCATGCTAAAAAATAGTTATGTCATTAATGTACATAATATATCTATGTAGTACCTATATAAAATATACATGATACACATATAGAACACACACGTAAAATTTTATGATTGCGCATCATTGTGATACATTTGCTTATCAATTATTTTTATATGTATTTTATATTATTTTTTATGTAATATGCTTAGTTGTTTAATTATGTTTCTTGGTTTAATTATAACGAAATTATATGTATAATTTCTATTTGTAGAATGTATAAAACACATACCAAAGATTTATGTTATCTTTAGTCTATATTCACAGTTTTTCATCATAAGACTGCCTAGAACATATATTTTATACATATCTTTAAATATGTATAACATGTAACATTATAATATGTGTTTGTAACACCTTTTTAATTTGGGCTGCACTTTGCCCTAGAGCGTGGCATAGCTGAATGAAGGACACCACTGGGGATGCAGCAGTTAAGTGCCTGCATCCCATATGCCTGTGGGAACCAGAATGGACCTGCAACCAGGTGTGGAGATGGGAGAAAGATAGAGCCTGACCACACTCCTTACAGCACAGTGTCTATTAAACTGCACTTCCATCCTCAATTGGACCAGTATTCCAGTTTTCAGAAGTTAAATTGTCATCTTCTCTAAGAACCAGATTTTATTTCAATTTTTTAGCATATCCATGAAGGCTTATGAAACTATAGCTACAGAAATAGTAATATTATATTATTACTGTTATTGTTTATAAAGTTAGCAGGGAAATTACACAATTTGAGAGTCTGACTGCACCAAATAAGCAAAGTATGCTCTGAAAACCTACCAGGGCTAAGTACCTAATTGTTATAAATGTGCCTCGTGGAGTAGGTCCGGACCCCCTTCCCAGGACAGCCCCATGGTGGGGACTACTCACTCCGTGGAAGGATGGGGATCACCAGCGAGATCTGCTTGGCTGCAGGACCTTCCACAGGCACTTTTTCTTCTGGCAGCAGCAGCGGCTCCAGGGCTTGGAATCCTCCTTGAAAAAAATAGTAGCAGTTAACAACAAACAGCAGCAGCAGTACACTTTATCAAAAAAGCCCTAAAATCATTATGTTTAAGGTGGCAGATTACGCACAATTTTTATTATTGATAATGCAGCTGTAACTGAGTACATGTGCGAGCACACATACACCCTTCTGCAGCGGGGTTTGCACCCTGTGCGCGACCAGCCCCGGATCGGCCGTGCATTCAGCGTTGGTGGGTATTCGGTTTCTATTGCCGGAGTCGTCTGTCCATCCTCTCGCTGCTGCTCCGGCACCTGCTACACACAGCCAGGTAGGCATTCATTTATCTGAATTTTACCCTGCCTGTCGGGAAGCAGTAGTCGCGGCAGGGGAGAAGAGGGGGAAAAATAACCGGGGGGGGG